CTTGAAATACAGTTGACATTCATTTATTCAACATCTATTTATTAAGTGCTTTTTGTGGACCAGGTACTCTATTAAGTGACAGTATAAACTAAAGATTAAAGAATAATCAGAATACTTTCTGAAAACCTCAAGAGTACCACAGCATTGTCAAAATAGAACTGGGAAGACTCAGATCTTGACTTTAGGGTAACAGACTCTCAGAGACTGGGAGCATAAGTCCAAAATAATGGATATTCCATGAAGTTGAAGACTTTTTCTTGTTTTCTATCGTATCCTGAGCCAGTGTAGGGATTCTCAACAAATATTTATTGGCCATTAAGTGAGTGAGCAAGGGGCTGGAGCCACTGAGAATAATGACTTGGCCATGTCTGAATCTTCTCTGTTTTTATTCCCAGCGCTAGCTTGTTTAGCTCTTTCGTGACAGTATTCCTTCACGAGTGGCCCATTCCATCTTTGACCAATCTGTCAGGAAGTTCTTCTTCATATTGTGCAGAAATCCATCCCCTCAAATTTGCACCAACAGGTGTGCATTCTACTCTTTCGGACTCCCAGGAACACACAGAACAGTTCCCTGTACTGCTACTTTATTTATTTATTTTTTCTTAAAGCCTACAGCACCCGGTGTTCACTGCTACTTTCTATTTGGAAAACTGCAAGCCGACAGAAAAGTTGAAGAAACAGTACAATTAATGTCTGTATACCTTTCATCAATTCACCAATTAATACTATTTTCCCACATTTGCCTCTATCACTCACTCTGGGTTTTTCCCCCTGAATTATATGAGTAGGCTGAAAACATAAGACTACATTACCCCTAATACTTCGGCACATATCTCCTAAGAATGACATTCTCCTGCATACTAACACTCCTACAACTAAAAAAAAAGTACTGTTAATAAAATATTGCCTAACATAAAAATCCATGTTTAAATTTTCCCAATTGGCCCCTCATTTTTCTTTTAATTTGGGGTTTTTTTAATCCCAGATTTTTATTTATTTACTTATTTTGGTGGCTGGCTGGTATGGGGATTCAAACCCTTAACCCTGATGTTGTCAACACCCCACTCTAACCACTGCACAAACTGGCCAGCCGCACTTTTTTTTTTTTTAATTTACACATTGTAATTGTACATACTTATGGGGTACAATCTGATATTGTGATACATATATATGTTGTATAGCAATTGGGTCAGGGCGGTTAATACATCAATCACCTCATGCATTTATCATTTTTTTTTTGCAGCAAAACATTCAAAAGCATCTCCTTTAGCTATTATATAATATACAAAACTTACCTGTTAACCATAGTCACCCTACTGTGTAACAAAACAGCAGAATTTATTCCTCCTATCTAATTGTAATTTTGTACCAGTTGACCAACCCCTCCCCCATTTTCCCTCCGCCTGGCCCTTTCCTCCCCAGACCCCAGATCTTTTTTTTTTTTAATCACATACTGCATTTGGTTGTTAATGTCTCTTCGGTCTCTTTTAATCTAGAATATTCTCCTAGCCCTTACATAAGTTTTTCATGATGCTACCTTTCTTGTGTGTGCTAGGACTACTATATCCACGTTATCTTGTGTACTACTTAGTGCATCACCTGGAGGCACGTACTGTCAGGCTGTCTCACTAGTGATGATATACACATTGACTACTTAATTAAGATGGTGACTACTCGATCTCTCCATTGAAAAGGTTAAATTTCCCCCTTTGCAATTAAAAATTAATCTGTGGGGTGATATTTTAAAGCAGTATGAATATCTGTTCCCCAACAACTTTTTACAGAATACTAACGATCCTTGCCTGAATCAACTATTACATTGAGAATTGCAAAATGATGACTTTCTAAATTCTATCATTCCTTCTACATGGATTGTTTTAAACCCAATATATTATAATCCATTATCATCTTTTTATTTGTATACTCAAATCGTCCCAAATTTGGCCAGAGAAAGTCTCTTAAAGCTACTGCCTGTACATTTTTGACATGATCCCATTAGCTAAGCACTCCCTAGCTTATCATCACAACCAGGAGTCTAGGCTCAGCTGTACTTTCCCCTGTCCCAGACATGAAATCAGCTATTCTTCCAAGGGCCAGGCGTACCCTTAGTAGGGAATAGCATTTATGAGGTACAATTCTGCTAGTTTCTTCTGTGGACCAGCCTCTGAGTGTTTGAAGCCAGTTATCACTTCTGTCCCATACCCCTCCCCAAACTTCCACACCTAGGATAAATTCTCCAAATTCCTCACACCAGTCTTCCTGTGAGTCAGCTTTGACTTTTATCCCACTCTTCTCTTTCATCTTCCCTGTCCTACCTCAGCTGCCATTTTCTAGAACAGTGGTCCCCAACCTGGCTATGCATCAGAATCAGAGGGACTTGATTAATATACAGATTCCAAGGATTCACTTCAGACTTACTGACTAGAATCCCTGGGGTGGGACATGGGATTCTGGTGTGTGTGTGTTTGTTTGTTTAAGTCTCCCATATGATATCAATATAGCCACTCCACTGCATACTTCAATTTTTCAAGGCCTGTGGACCCAGATTCGGATAGAATATCAAAAGTGTCATCTAGGGCCGGCCCGGTGGCGCACTGGATAGTGCGCCGCTTGGGAAGCGTGGTGTCGGATAGAATATCAAAAGTGTCATCTAGAGCTACCCCTCTTATTATACTGGATATAACACTTCTTTCAATGTAATCAAATTAATGCGGAGATTTGTGGGGGAGAGGTGGAGGCAATGACATAAAATTTTGACCAACAGTAAATTTACAAACAGCTAAACCCTCAAAACTTTCAAACATATTAATTACTAAGTCACGTCTCCCTTTTTTATGTACCACTGGTGTTTCTGTGTAAGAATTTGCATTTGTTCCTATTAAAATTTACATTGCCCAACTCAATCCAGCCTTCAGTATGTCAAGGGTCTTATGGATCCTGTTTTTATCATCCTAAGTATTTTTACCCTTTCAACTTTATGTCACCCATAGTTAAGTATGCTGTCCAAGTCCTCTCTCTTAGGTTGCCTTTTTTAGCTATATTTTTTTTAAGTATTAAAAAAATCAATCATATAAACTGTTATACGATTGGGGTGATAGAGAGATAATTATATATGTTTGTCAAAACTCATAGGACCATACACAAAAAAACCAGTAATTTTAATGTATGTAAACTATACCTGAAAAAAAAAATCAGTCAACATTTTATATACCCAGCTATATTCTTCTCTCAGATTAGGTCTCACTAACTTATTTTGATTGATGATTTCTACAAACTGCACTGCTATTCTAAGTAATGGAGTTTCATAGATATTATATTTTTATTTGTTGAGGTCAATGCATTCTAGGGTTTGATCCCTTAAAAAAGCACAAGAGTTTGGCTTATCAGACCAATCAAGCCAAGGAATGCATTATTTTATCAATTCTCACAACACAAACTACAAAGAAAAAGTGATGAAATATAAAATAAATAGAAAGTTATATTAGAAAAATTGTAATCTTCCATAGAAATGGATTAAAAATATCAAACATAGCTTGTCAGTCTTGCTTAGAAGAGGAAGGCAGACAATTTTCCACTGCCTTTTTTTTTTTTGCGTCTGGCCAGTATGGGGATCTGAACCCATGACCTTGGTGTTATAAGGCTGTGCTCTAACCAGTTGAACTAACCAGCCAGCCCCCCTTTTGTTTTTTGCAGCTGGCTGGTCCAACTTGTAAGGATTTTTAAAATACTCTTCAGTGTTGATGAAGGTCTAGTAAAACATACTCTCAGTGTGGATGAGAGGCTTAAGTGACATAACCTTCCCGGCCATTGAAATTACCTAACAAGAAGTTAAAAGAATTCATTTGAATACTTATATACATAACACAAAAAGTCTAGAAAGAAATATACCAAAATGTTAGCAGTAGCCAGCCATCTCCACCTGATGGAAGGCAAGCTGAGTTTTGTTTAGTTTTTTTCATGCTTTGTATTTTTTTCTTAATATTTTCTAAATTTCTACAATGAGCCTATGTTAGTTGTATAATTAGGATAACAACAATAAACATTTATAAAAATACTAGTTAAAGAGAGGAGAGGAAAATAAGTCAAAAAAGGAAGGAAATGAGAATAAAATAAATTTTTATGAAGATGTATGTCTCTGATAAGAATTCTCAAAATAAAACATGTCTTCCAGATAGTCAATAATTGTATAAATAATTTTTATTCAAAGAACAAGCAATCTTTCTCTTGTGAAGCTTCTCTGAATGCCACAGAAGATTCAAATATAGTAAAAGGGACACTTGCTTTGTCTCCAAACAATATTTTTTTTAAATGAGAAGCTTTATACAAAATTATTAAATATTATAAATTCATACCTTGAGGAACGATGCTCTGGTTTATTTCTTTCGTTGCGATCTGTAAAGAAAGAAGACAGTTACACGTCAAAATGCTCTTTAAAAAAGCCCTGGAAAATAAGTTCTTAAATACAAGCTGTCATACCATTAGATTTCGCAAAGGACTGTTTAAAGGTAGCTATGTCTTTCCCTGTACAAGACTCTTCATCAGAGTTGAGAAGACTTGCCTGACAGAGATGGTAGAAAGGACACAACGAAGGACAGGCATAAAAACTTTTTATAGTTTGTTAAAATCATCTACTTGGAAAATATATCATTACGTGTATTATTCCATTTTAAAAGATCTTTGCTGTGTTAAACACTTTGCTAAGACCAAAACAGATTTAGCTAAGGAACGAAAGTAAGGAAACTGAAAAGCCACAGATTACTCAGCTCAAAAAAATCATTCCATGAATCATGGTTGGCAGAAGCTTCTAACAGAATGGGGTGGGGGGAAAATGAGCAGTCAGCTAACAACAACATCTGCAAATACACTAAGACCAGTACAGCCTCGTCCTTAACTATCTATCACCCAGAACATTTCAGAAGTTGGATTGCAATGTTTCACCAATGATTAGGTGTAATATGCTATATATACAATATTTTTGGTTTTCTCAACTGGGGAGGAGGGAGCTCTAGTAAGTAGACACCAGGGATGCTGTTAAATGTCCTACAATGCACAGGGCAGCCCCCCCAAAAAGAATTCTGTTGCCTGAAATGTCAATAGTGCCAAGGTTGAGAAACTGCTAGAGGATAAGAAATAACAGTACAGCTGCTTGAAGTTTTCAAAAAAGTAGACACCAGGGATGCTGTTAAATGTCCTACAATGCACAGGGCAGCCCCCCCAAAAAGAATTCTGTTGCCTGAAATGTCAATAGTACCAAGGTTGAGAAACTGCTAGAGGATAAGAAATAACAGTACAGCTGCTTGAAGTTTTCAAAAGTGCCCTTCCGGACTGCGGTAAAATGCTATTAATCAACCTGAAGACTATCACATACAAGAGAAACAACCACAAAACCCACAGGTTGTATCTTTTTGAATCTGAGTAACAATTTTTTTTTCCAGTGTATGCTTAAAAACACAAAATAAATGAAGTTAAATGGCCTCACTGTTATGGAAAAATTAATAATATAAAAAGAATATACAAACTACAATACAGTCATATGTAATGACTTTTTAAAAAATCCTATGGAATATTATCAAGACAGTTTTCTATAGTCTGAATTCTACAGCCTGAATTAATGCCAACAAGATAGAATTTAATGGCAAAGCAAAGATTAGACAGGAATTTTTTAATTTTTTCCTTAATTTTATTGCTGGTGGAGCAAGATAAAGAGGAAAATAAAAACAAACTCTAAAACTTCTAGAAAGAAATATGGAAGAAAAAGAATAGCATTTACATAGTTAAATGTATGTACCAATTCTTTCTGAATGTGTTCATAATAAAAAAGAAAAATTTTAAGCCAAAGAGTACACACACAGACACTGTTCTATGAAAAACTAACAAGAAGATTCACAATAAAATATGTTTGTTTAGATATAATGCTCTCAGAATGCATAATAATGAGTTTCTGGTTACAATAGCTCTACACTGTGATTGTTACTGCAACTTTTAAAACTTCTCTGTTTTAATTTAATTTGACTTTACCCCTCCCTTAAATAAAAATATCATGGTTTTCACTTACTGAGTACTAAAATTTTAAAGTCATAGTAATACAGGGCTGATTTTAATCATTTTTTCAATCTTTCCTCTCCGGCTTTTTGCCTGCTCGTTTTGCTAAGAAAAGTTAAGTAGAAGCTAAATACAGATCAGCTATCCTCTTATAACAAAGCAACAACTCTTACCTGTAGCTAAAGGTGAGCTAAAACTCTGCCGGGAATGACATTTGTTGTAGCTGCGATCCTAGTTTTCTACAGTTATTAGGCATGTAATAGCAAATTTCCCCACTAATCTTCCTAGTGGTACACAAGAAGAGGAGAGAAACAGAGTCACGATGCATGTAAACAAGACGCAGCATCCAAGGGCTTCCCTCCCTCCAGGGCCCACTCTGATTGGCAGATGTGCTATGACCAGTCTGCACAGCTGGAATGTGGCCACTCAGGAAGCAAAGGGCTTGCAGCTCTCCTTCACTCTTGGTTCAAACAGGAAATTCTACAGTCGTTTTTATACTGCTACTCTAGGAAAATATAAATGCTTTCCCTTCTCTATTGAACTGATCATTAAAATCCAAGAGAATAACTTGATTATCTGTTGGAGGACATTTTAAACATTTCTTTCTAAGTTAACTCTTACCTGTGCTAATTCCTCTGTAAATATGCCTACACAGTGTTTATAATATGATACTCCTAAGAACCCACAGAGTTGATAATATGAGGGTAAGGGTAAATTATCCAGTACTCACAATATTCCCCATCTCTCACCTCTTGAAAATGGAAAACAAATTGAAACAAATGTTCTTGGCTTGATCTTTTTTCTCAAAGCATACAAATAACTGAATTTCACATTTTGCCATAGAGCTATCATTTAGCTTATAGGTGTACAAATATGCAATGAGTGTATGTTGTGTATCTGTGTCTTATAAACTTACATATTTTTTATATACTTATATTTTATAGACATATCTTAAGCAAAGTAATTTTCACAACAGCCAAGAGTATTGTGCAATTGTCAAGAATGCATTAGCAGAAATGCTAAATTTTTGGCAAAATAAGTGGTTATTATTTTGGTCCAAAAGCTAAGACTGAACAAAACAAATCACTGACGGCAGATTTAGGATTTGCTTTCTGGCCAACAATAACAAAATATTTGGATAAAATCCCCTTAAGAAGAATGAGAACAGAGCTATAGCAAACCTGGAAATTTCACCTTGGCTAGACACAATGCTTTAAGACACAATACATGTATTTTATTTAAAAAAAAAAAAAAAAAAACATTCTTTAGCACAACTCCCCCCAATTCTTTTTAGAGTTTCTAATTTTTAAATAATTAGGAGAGAATATACTTGCAAAGACTTCCTGAACTTTTGCGTATTTAGAAATTGTACCAAAAACTTACTAGCTCAAAGTCTCACATTTCTATAAAAAAGTTACTGAAAATAAAATACCCTAATTCTTTTTTTTTTTCCTTTTTGTCTTTTTTCGTGACCGGTAACGGTATCACAACCCTCAGCGTGGCGCCCGCACCGCGACCAGCAACGGGATCGCAACCCTCGGTGTCACCCCCGCACTGCTCAACCAGTGAGCAGACCAGTCTCTATACGGGATCCGAACCCTCGGCGGGAGCGCCGCCACACTCCCAAGCGCTGCACCTACCGAGTGCGCCACGGGCCAGCCCTAAAATACCCTAATTCTAAAATTTATTTGCCAAATGCTGCACATTTGCTGTGGATAATTTACTAATTCCAGGGACCCACCAAGCATGATGGTTTAGGTCACTCAAAGACCAGAAGTACATTCTCAATGTGAGGGTAAGCATGGCTGGATAACCATGTAAGTCATCAATGTGGTTATCAATGTGAGGGTAAGCATGGCTGGATAACCAAGTTGGTTTTGTAGTATATATGTCACACGCACACGTGCACACGCATACACACACCCTTCGCATTCCCTCAAAGCTAACTGAGGAAATGGAAAAATACCCTGCAGGCAGAACAAAGAAAACAAAGCAGAGCAGGCACAAAGGCTGTTGATGGGGTGTGTTAATGTTGTGGAGAGACATGAGGGATGCAATGGGGGTACCCATGGTACTTTAAAGGGACTGCAGAATAGTTAAGGAACTCTGTGTGAGAATTCCAGATTACCCTACTTTTCCTTTCATGATAACTTCTGGTTCTGAGTAATCTAGACATACACAATTCCAATGTTTATGTATTCAGGTGTTATGTATCGCTTACGTCGAAATGGGGCCCCACTCTGGCAGGGATAGCTTTTTGGGAATGGCTAGACAGATCCTAATGATGTGGAACCATTCAGGGTGATTCTGAATCTAATAATATGACAAATACTTTGAAATGGAGATGACAAAAATGCAAATGTCACCTTTTGCTTTCATTAAAACTAAGAAGAATGGCCAACTCAGAACTTATTAGAATCTATTGCAAGACATTCAGGCTTTGAGGATTTAGCTTTGATCACTTAACTGGAGAGAAAATCAAACCCCTTTGGGTAGGGACTTACTTTACTAACTCAAGTCAGAAGTGAAAGGTCTTAAATCACTCTTTGAATTAGGGGGAAGACTAGTCTACATGAATGAATACACACAGATACACTCACAAGAGAAGAGGAAGTGGTATAAAGGGAATCTGTCTTCTACCTCATAATGGAGAACCAAAATCTCTCTTTAGGAGGAATACTGTAACATTCATGAATCTTACTTTGGCGATTCTTTAAAAGACAGCAAAACTGATTCCACATAAGTAGAACATGGGTAGAATTTTATGTATTACATATTAGAGTTTCAAAGCCTTTTCTAAACACCTTAAGTGGTTCCTATATTTAGGCAGAGAAAATTGCAAATATATATACACCTACTTGAAAAGAAGCCAGTGTTCATTCTACAGAATTACGGACACCAACTAATACCTATACACCTCTACCTTCTAATGACATTCGACCCCCCCTTGTTCAGGTGTGTCTTCAGACTGATTTCTACTCACTTTGGGGATTCCTATAGAGACTACTCTACTGCTCTTATAAATGGTAGGTTTCAATAAATATATTTGTTGTTGTTGAATTAACACACTGTTGAACCTAAGTAAGAAAGTTTCTACTCGTACTCTTAAAAAAGCCAGAAAATTAGACATTCTCTGTGAGCTACCACTGCCGGAGAGAAATGGGGCATATTATAGAGAAGTTTGCATGACTGCTGCCCATACTTCTGTGGGTAAGTGGAAAAGTTTGGTCTGCAGCACTATTAATCCTGATACCTTTCATTAATTCCGATTATAATGTGTCTAAACTCATTAAAGTGCAGCAAAAAGGGAAGCTTTTTCAATACAGGATCTACATTTCAACAAAGAAGCAGATTGTCTCTGCAATCTGTGTTCTTCTTCCCGTGCCCTGTTTCTACCCTCATTTGGGGTACTCAATAGCACTCTTCCAGGCTGTTGTGTCCTGATGGAATTATCTGGCGCCAGTCTCTTCTCCAACCCAACTATATTACTGGCCAGATAAATCCAGGCCTCAGAAAAATTATAAATCACTACATGCAATCCTGAGAGAATTAAATGAGATCATGCCA